AGTAAGCCACAAACTTTCTGTAGCAGAGAGCCCACCAGGGTCAGGTCGTGGGCACACACTCCCACTCCCCGGGAGCTCTGTGCCGCCTTGGACAAGGCCGAGACCCCCGCCCGGGGCCCCCCGGCTCCCTCTCTCGTGGAAGAGGCAGCTGACAGGGCCTGCGGGAGCCACGCCGGGTGTGGCCTGGCCCATGGGGCCCACCGGATGGACGCCCTTCTGTCCTGGCTGCTGTAACATAACCATAACCATCCATTCTGTCTGCAGAGCCCACAGGCCGTGGGAAATGCTATAGTTTTCTCCTCACAGCCCTGAGACAGGCAGGCACAGGGTGGAGCACCCGACTTTCAGAGGAGGAACCTGGTGCCAGGGGGTTGGCTGGCTCGTCTGGGGGTCACCTGCCAGGTGGCCCTGACAGCAGGGACGACGCCCTCTGACCGCCGCAGGCCCTCTTCCTGACCCCGCGTAGGAAGAGCCCGTGTGGAGGGTCCCTGGCAGCCGGCCCCATGGCAGATGCCACGCCGGCAGCAGCACAGACGTCTGTCCCTCGGAGGCCAGGAGCGGCCTCCGCATCTCCAGAAACACAGCTGGTGTTGGGGTGAGGTTCGGCAAACCTGTACCCCCAAAGGGCTCTGGGGCCAAGTCCCAGCTCTGCCACCAACTTGCCACGTGGATTTGGACAGGTGTGCTCCCCTCCCTGGCCCGCCCCCGCAGTGTGAAACCAGGGGGGCATGTAATGGTTCCCCGGTTCTCGGAGGGCTCTCTTGGTGGAAGGACCCCCACCACTTCCTGATTCCTGTCCCAACAGGAAGGCCCCCTGAGCTCTTCCCAGCTCTGTTAACAAGACTGACGCAGCCGGCTGTGTCCTGGCGAAGCCCGTGCGGGACACGGCAGTGCAGGCGATGACAAAGCCCCTTCCTCCCGGGCCTGATGGTTTAGGCGGATGAATGAGTGAATGAATGAATGAATGAATGAGCCCCCGTGCTCGAGGGCTGCCCACAGCAACACATTCTGAGAAGGGAAAAGCAAAAGAGGGTGCTCCAGGGAGGGTCACTTCAGTGGGCAGTCAGAGAGGGCTTCTCGGAGGAGGTGGCATTGGACCTGAGCCCGCAGTGCTGCCCTGAGCAGCCGTGCGAAGAGCAGAGGAAGGGCGCCGGGCCTGGGGACAGCTGTGTGAAGACCTCGAGGCAGGAAACAGGTTGGCACCTTCCAGCAGCCAAAAGGCCAGCGTGGCCAGAGTGGGAGGGCGGAGCGGGGCCGGGAGCCTGGCAGGGCCAGTCCCTGAGACTCCCTCAGCCCCCGCTTTCGGCCTCCTTGCCCCATCCCCCTAGGCCGCCCCAGGGAGAGGCTGCAGGTACTGGGGGGCAGGGCCGGGTGAATAACAAGGTTACACGTGCTGCTTCCTTCCCCTTTTCTCCAGGAGGAGCATAAAGGGCTCTTTCTTTTCTGCTTATTAATAGCTCTGATTAAATTATCTCTGAAAATCTACGCGGTGTGCACCAATGGGGGCTCGGCTCCCTCCAGGCTCTGGCCTAGATTACAGCAATGAGGGCAGGTGAGGCAGCACGGGGGCTGGGCGGGAGGCGGGGGCAGGCCCGCTCCGCCCGAGGAAAGGCTGCCTCCCTCCCCTGCCCCAGCTCAGCCCCTGACCCCTCCGTGCGGGGGACGGTCACAGCGCCCTCGCCGGACGTGGGCCTGTGCGGAGGCAGTTTGTCTTCCCAGAGCGCTCCTCTCCCTTCTCCCTCGTCACTTCCTGTTTCCCGGAGCTGCTCAGCCTTCACCACGGCAGCCCTCCTGCCGGTCAGTCTGACCCTTCCCCGCGAGCCGGGTGATAACTGCTCGTGGCCTTTTCTGCCCCCATGAAGCCAGAGTCACTGTTGAATCCCCAGTGACTGGCACAGGACAGGCCCTTAGGAAATGATGAATGAATGAATGAGTGAATGAATGAATGAGTGAATGAATGAGCAGAACTAAAGGAGGGGTGATCAGGCCGCGGCGATTGAGGGCAAGACTAATCTTACATGTGTGGGAGCAAAGTTCCAGGCTCCAGGCTCCTTGAGCAGAGCCTGTGTGGCACTTGACCTTGTGTCACAGATGAGGGAGGGAAACTGAGGCACAGAGAGGAAGAACATGGCTAGAAACCTAAAGAGTCAGGGTTCATTTCAGTACGTCCCCTTCTCCCCCTCCTCTTCTCCCTGCTCCTCCTCCCTACAAGAAAACAAAACAAAACAAAACTAAATGAATGGGCACATTCACGCATTGATTTGGAGATTAATTCAACAAAGCTCTATTGAGCACTGACTGTATGCCAGGCCTGTGCTAGGGATAAAACAGTTTGAGCGCAGCCCCTTCCCTCGCAGAGACCGGAGTTTGGTGGGGAAGACTGGCCAATAGCTGGACCGTTATCACAGACTGGGGACAGCTTTAAAGGGGGGAGCACTCTGGCCTGGAGGGTGGCAGTCAGGGAAGACTTCCTGGAGGAGGTGGCACCCTAGCTGAAACCTGAAGGCGGAGCAAGAATCAACTACCTGGAGGGAGGGTATTCTAGGTGGACAGGGACAGCATGGGCTTGGAAGTCCCAGGGTCACGTGGGAGGATGTGCAGGTGTGTAGCAAGGCTGGTATGTAGGGAGAATACAAGGTCAGAGGAAAGAGGTGCCATCTGTCCCCTGGTCCCCTCGGGCCTCTTGGACCCTTGGCCGGAGCCAGCGTTCAGGGGCTTGACTGCCTGGTGCTTCTGTGGACCATCTTGACTGTCTCCAGTCCCATAACGCAGAGCTACTGGACACAACCAAGAGCAAGGGGGGCTGGGTCAAGGCTGGAAGTTGGAGAGGGGGGTGTGGGCATGAGGGCCAGACCTCAGGGAGGCGAGCATGTTGGCAGTGGCATGGGTGGTAGGCACTGTGAGTGTGGGACATAGTGAAGATCCAAGACTGAGCATCTCTTGGGGGGCAGGAGGGCGGCATTCACTGCCTGGAGGGGTGTGAGAGACACCTATAAGACACCCCTCCACCTACACAGCTACCTTTAAGCCTGCTGTTGCCTGAAATCCCACCATTAGCACATCCTGGAGTCACAGGCTTCAGAGATGGGGGCCTTTGAGACCTGCTAACCCCTGCTGTAAGCTGTAAGCTCCGGAGCCTTTGGGAACTACTCCAGAGTCTGATTGGCAGGGTAGGTCGTGGGCCTCACCCTCCGTTTTCCAGCAGAGGAAACTGAGGCCCAGAGAGGAGAAGAAACTTGCCCTTAAGGTCACAGCCAGTCGATTAGTGGCTGGCACTTCGTGCAATAAATCAAGGTCGGGGGGCTGGAGTTTGGGATCCGGTTCTGTCGCTGTGTGACCTTGTGCTAGTCACATGGCTTTCCTGGGCTCTCAGATGTGGGTGATAATCAAGCAGACGTCACAGGGCTGCTGTGAGAGTGAAAGGAGATAGAAACGTGTGATATAAATAGCAACGAGCACTGCCCGGCCCGTCGTTGGTGTCAGGGCATGGTTACCACAATGGAAAAATTCCCAAACGTGGGGAAGGCTGTGGTGTGGCCCGCTGCCTGCTTCTCCCCTCCCTACCCTCCTCCTTCCCAGGGTTCCTGTTGCCATGGTCCCTCTCCCTGCACCTGGCTTGGGTGCGCCAAGCATTCTCCCCACCTGTCCACACCCCAGTCCACCCAGCCCGTTGCCCAGGCAACAGGCCCCAACGTCACTGCCAGTTCAGGCCGAGGGCCCCAGCGTGGAAGCAGCTGGCCCAGTATCACGTTCCCAGGTAAATCGCCACCCCACCCCACTTCCCGGAGCAGGGGGAGGGGGGGCTCCGAGGAGAGCCAAAGAGGAGAAGGCGGCCAGCATGTGAGCGCTGGGAGCTGTGGTTCCACAGCCTGAAGCAGGGCCAGCTCCTGTCCCAGATAAGGCGGTGGGTGGCCTACTTGGGCCTGGCCTGAGCTCCCAGCAGGCGGCCCTCCCCTCCCCGGTGCTGGGCAGGGGTGGCTGGGCTCGGGAAGTAGGCCAGGGCCGACTATCACCGGCTCATCCCACCGGGTCCTCCCGCAGGGCCTCCAAAGCTGGCATTTATTGAGCACCTACTGTGTTCCGAGTCCTTTCCGCCCAGTAACTCACTTTGCCCTCATAACAACCCGTAACATAGGAATTAGGATATAGCGACAAGAGACTGAGGCGCGGACTCATGAAAATAAATGCCAAAGGTCAACAGCTAGCAGAGGCAGGGCTGGCACTCACCCAGGTTCCGTGGGACTCCAGGGGGTCACATGGACTTGTCTGAGGGCGGTGGGAGCGTTCTGGCTCCGGCTCTGCCTTTCCGTCTTTCCTGGAAAGCTGGCTCCCCAGCTTGCTGGGTGAGGGACACCTGGCAACTAAGGAAGCTGATCCTCCCAGGACTCACTTTTGCCAGCTGTCAAAATGGGACTGTTAACTGTGCCATCCATGGGCTCTCGGATAGGATGAATGAGAACCTGTGACGCTGCTTAGAAGGTAAAAAGCAAGGTTCTGTATAGTTTGATAGATTCACAGTTTGAACCCAGGTGGTACTATGCCTCATTTTCCCCATCTGTTAAGTGGGGCAGTGCCTGCCTACCCGGATGTGGAGAGGATTCCAGGAGACGGAGTTTAGAAAGAGCTCGCTATGGAGCCTGGCTATATAGTGAGAGATCTCAAATGTGCTGCCAACACTCCACCACTAAGGAAACGTGCCCGGGGCAAAGCACTCCAGACAAAATGTCCCGTCACATCTCTCACCTCAATTTCCTCTATAAGCGGGGAGTATAATAATCATACCTACCATATCTGTTTTCTTATTGGTGAAATGGGGGTGCTAACAATACTGTGTGTGAAGATTAGGTAAAGTGCTTTGTTACATGTGTTAGCTTCTTTTCTTGTTTTCATTATTTTTAACAAATAGCTACCAAATGTGTGCTCAATAATGATACTGGTTTTTCCGCCCTCCTCCTCCCACCTCCTCCCCCGTCCCCGACCAAGGGACTACAAGTACCAACATGCCCTGCACCCCCAGTTGGGGCCCCTCCGCTCGGTGCCTGCGCGCTGCATACTGGGAGTTGCAGTCCCGTCGAGGTTGGTCCCGCCTCGCCCCAACTTTGGGGAGGAGGTTGGAGAGCCACCAGCCAGCCTTTGAATTTTGCCGCGAAAAGCGCGCGTGGCGGCCCCTCGGCCACGCCCCCCGCAGGACGCGGCGCCGCGTCACCCTGGTAACCGCCTCCCGGCGGTCCCTGATTGGGCCTGGCCGCGGGGGGCGGGAGGGGAGCGGGCCGCCGCGGCTGCTGCGGGCGCTCGCGCCTGTCAGTCGGGCCGGAGCGGAGCGGCGGGCAGGGCGCTCGGGCGGCAGCTCCGCGCAGAGGCTGCGCCCACCAGCCGGGGAAGGCGGAGAGCCGGGCCGCCGCCTGCGGGGCCCAAACGCACGGTCCTCGGACCTGAAGCGGGCGAGACGCCAGGCGGCGCGAGGCTGAGGTCCCGGGAGCCCCGCGCGCCGCCCCGGCCAGCGCGCTTGAGAGAGAGCCCGGTGCGCGCCGCCCCGGCTGCACCTCGCGAGCTCGCAGTCCGGGTGCATCGTCCTTCGGGCCGTCCCTCCTACTTCCTGCTCCACCCGGACCGGTTATTTCCAGGCGCCGAGGCCCCCCGGGCTGCACTCGAGCCTCCCTCCGCCGGCCGCCGCCGCCGCCTCTGCTGCCGCTGCTCGCCGGCTTCCCCTCCCCCCACCCCGGGGCCCGGAGCAGGAGGAGGAGGGGCCGCGCCTTCTTGCCGCTGCTCTTTGCAACCTGCGGAGGCTGGTGCATGCCCGGCGTGGGCCCGCGCCGCTGCAGGTGCGCGCACCCCGGAGGAGAGGACTCCCCCAGCCCCGGGCGGATCTGGGGGCTGCGAGCCGCAGGCGGGCGGCCGAGCCGGAGGAAGCAACAAAGACAGGCTGCAGCGGGGCCGGCGAGGGGCCGCGGCCGCCGGCTCCCGGCGCGGGCTGAGGGCGCGGGCTGAGCTGCCGCCCTGAGCGGAGCCCGGGGGGGAGGCGCAGCGCCCCCCGCGGGACGCGGTGAGCACCTGCCCGGCCGGGATGCGCCGCGGGAGCGCCCGCGCGGCCCGGGTCCCGGGCGGCCGCGACCCCCGCTGAGCGGAGACACCTGCACCTCCGGCTTCGGAGGCGCGGCCTCGCTGACAGCGCCCCTTCCACCCGGAGAGAGGCACCGCCTTCCTGTCACCTCTGCATGGCTGTCACCCCGCGAGCCGGCGGCGCCGCTGAGCCCTGCTGACCCGGTGAGTTCCACGAGGCGGGCTGGCGGGCTGGCGGGCTGGACGGAGGCAGCCCGTGTTGGAGATAAAGGGGCCCTGGATGTTGAGGATCCTGAAGCAGGTAGCTCCTGACCTCCCCTTTCCTTCCCACACAACTTGCCTGGACCCGCCGGCCAGCCGGCCTGCTGGAGGCTGGGGCCCTCCGCCAGAGGTCACCCCGGCCCTAAAGCCAACAGAGTAGCAGGGGCAGCGCTCTGTCTTCCGAAAATCCCAGGGAACTCGCGCCTTGGAGTGTTTGAGGAGGGGCGCCAGGAGGGGACAGCTGAGGGTTCTCCCAGAACCCCTGGATCTTCGGGGGGGGGGAGCCTCTGTTACATGTTGGCGGCTGTTTTTGAGGATCGCTCTATCTGAGTGTAGACTGTAACAGGGTCCCCTTACGGCCCGGATTCCTACAAAAACACATCGTGGTGTGACATCACTACCAGGCCCCTGACGTCACTGGGGTTGCGGTAGCCACATGACTTGTCTTGACCCTAGGCCGGAGGGGGCGGGGCGTGGTGGGACCAGGGCCAGGCTGGATGCCTTTGGCAGTGGAGGGTGAGGGCAGGCTCCCCACCCTAACCGCACTCCTCTGACCTAAATCTCGTGCCCTGGTGAGGAGGGGGAGGGGGGGAGAGGGGGAGCACCAGCTGTCTCTGAGGATGCTCCTCCCCCAAGGACAGTTGCTCAGCTTCTGGCACAGAGCCTGGCAGAGCCCGGGGGCTTAGGACTCCCAGACAGCAACTTTCTGCTTTCAAAAAAGACGTTCCAGAGACCCCCCCCACCCCACCCCACCCTGAGCCACACGCCCAGCAGCAGGCTGCAGCTCCCGGGCCCCGAGGGCTGTGGGCCTCTGCCTCCCCCCCGCCCCCCCCCCCCCCCCCCCCCCCCCGCAAAGGGCTGCTCTGGTCAGGAAGACGGGGTGCCTCATCCCCAGCCCGGGAAGGTGCAGAGGAGCTGCCGCTCGCTGCTCCTCAAGGCCAGGGGGCCCTGCTGCTCACTGCCGAGATGAGGGCCTTGGCCAGGCTTGAACTCCTGCCTGCCCGCTCCTTGGGTGTTTCGGTGGTTTTGACAAGCTCCATGTGGTGCTCGTTACGTGAATGGAGGGCACATGAGGCCCATCAGTGCCAAGGTCAGAGTAAAGCGTGTCTCTGCCCAGGGCCAGCTCCCGGGGATTAGCACCCCTAGCACAGGCCCTGTTCCTGTGAAGGCACAGAAGCCCGGGCACGAGCCTGCTGCCCCTCTCTGATCCCTCTGCTCAGTCCCCGTCTGCAGTGGCGCCGTGTCGATGTGGGTGCAGCTGCTGTGACCGCATTTCTAGGAAAAGGTTAGAGAACTGTCGTTGCTCCAGTGGGTGGGGTGTAGAGAGCAGAGGGGAGCGTAGGTGAGGTCACTGCGAGAAGCCGGGCCCATCTCTATGCAGCAGGCATTTATTTCTGTTCCGCCGGCGCGCTGGCCAGATGAGCAGGTCAATAAATATCAGGAGCTGCTCTGGGGGCTGCGGAGAGAGCTTTCCAGCCGCAGCGGCGGCAAAGCCGGGCTCCAAGGACAGAGGCGCAGAGCGGGGAGGAGGTGGGCAGAGGGCGGTGGGCGCTGCCTCTCGGAGCTTCCCGGTTTGGAAACAAACGCGGAGCGCGCCAGTGCCACCAGCACAGGCGGCTGGAGGCCCTCCACGGAGTGTTTACGCTTCCCCAGCCAAGGCGGAGCGGGGGCCGTCAGAACTGGGCGATTCCTTCTGCTCGCTTCCCTGGGCTTGGCAACAGCACCGGGGACGCGAGGAGGGAGTGCCAGCGTCCCCACGTCGCCGGTGCCGGCCTGTCACGGCTGCAGGGACTCCCGTGCGTGGTCCGTTACACAGAGGAGACCGAGCCCAGAGAGAGGAAGGGAGGAGCTACAGGTGCGCAGCCAGACCACCTCAGGCTCCGCTCTCAGCTGCCTTCTCCCCTCTCCCATGTGCGGAGGGGAGGCACCCCACCTGTTGGACACAGTCCCTCCAAGACTCCGGGGTTCCTGGCTGTCGAGGCAGCTGGCCTCACCCAGGTGTCTCACCACACGGAAGCCCGGCTTCCCCGTTACCTGCAGGACAGACTGAGCAGAGCAGCTACTTCCTATCTGGCCTGTGGGCAGCCTGCCCCTCTCCCCGCACTTCTCTTTCTGGGGGAAGGAAGGTCTGGCTGAACCCTGCCTGCCAGGCAGGGGGAGAGAGCTGGCCCTCGGCTCCTGGCCTTCCGTCCCTGTGGGCTTTGCTGGGTGGGGGGTGAGGCAGCCAGCAATGGGCCAGGACATAGATGGGGAAGAGCACCTATGGCTCCTGGCCCAGCCTGAGGGGTGAGGGCCTGTAGGAGGGGAGCCATACAGAAAGGACACACGGGTCGCCAGGCAGAACGGAAAGTGTTCTGGGCCCTGGGGTGGCTGTGAGTCAGCCTGTGATTGCGGGGCGTGCTGACTGCGGTTGAGGGGTGGCCCTGGGGCGACTGTGTCCGGGAGGCTTAGCTGGCGGAGGATCCCCTTAGGGCTCCCTGTGCCGACGGGGAGGGCCTCCTCTGCCCCCAGGCAGTCCTTCTCTCAAGGTTAACTGTCCGCCTCCACCCTCAGTAATCCTTATCACACACCTAATCCGTGGCAGTTTACCGTCCCCTGCCCCCTCTGAGCCAGGAAGTGAGGGTTTAGCACAGATGGCGGCATACTGTAAGCACTCCACACACGCACTCTCCCAACGTGGCCACGGTCGCCTCAGCCTCAGGACGGGGCCTTTGAAAGACATTCCCAGCCCCACCTGGTGCCCAGGACCCAAGGCCGCAGGCAGACCTGGGACTACACCCGCCCTTCCAGTTGCTGCTGCTGGGTCGCCTGCCCACCTGCCCGCAGAGGTGGCTGCCCTTCTGAGCTGCCAAGGCCCGGCCAGGGGGCCCCTCCACCTTCCACTCCCGCACCGGCCGGAGGGAGCCGGCGAGCAGCTCATATTCATGAACCGTAATTCAATCAGGCAGCGGCTCCTCTGGGCTCGGCGGCCAGGGGGGAGGCGCACAAAAGGGCCGCTTTATGCCTCCCAGGCGGGCGGGAGCTCCCGGCCGGAGCCGCCTTTATTGTGTTAACCCATTTGCGTGTCAAGAGCTATTGTGCGCCTTCCCTGCTCTGCTCTGCCTGCCTCGGTGCGGGGCTGCGGGAGGAGGAGGCCTCGGTCACCTCCGGGCGCCGCCCACCGCCCTGATTGGTTGCTAAGTGATTTGCATCCAAGGTAATCACTTTTATCTCAGAAGGATGTCGGCTGTAATTATAAGCTGCTGACATCTTTTGAAATCTGCCTAATGACAATTTTAGTCCGCCCTGGGGGGGAGGGGGGGGCGGCTCTGGGGTGTAGGGGTGTGGGGGAGGAGGCAGGCAGGAAGGTGGCTGGGTTTCTTCGGCCTGGACCATGGTTCCTCAGTTTAGAAATGTCTGCGTGCCCACTGCATGCCCGAACAAAGGCTGTGTGGAGGGGGTGCTGCGTGCCTGCTGGCGGAGGCAGCAGTGCCATTTCAGAGACGGGGAAATAGAGGCGCTGAGACATGAGCTGCCTGCCCAGGATCACACACCCAGTCAGAGGCTGGAAGCCGGGGCTGTCTGATCCCCACATTCCTGTGTCGCCCAGGAGTGGGGCATAGACAGAAGCAATAGTGGGGGTCACTCCTGGACAGAGGTCACCGCCCGGTGCTGCCCCAGCGAGGAAGCAGGGCTCGGAGAAATTAGGTCACCGCCCAAGACCCCACAGCCAGAGAGGGGCAGAGTGTGAGGCCTGTGGGTGGCTGGCCGTGAGGTTCCAGCACCCCTCACCCTCGGTTCTGTAAACTCCTGCCATCAGCCTGGGCTCGGGCCCTGTGGGCCTCGCTCTGGCGGCACAGCGCCGAGGAGACACTCCATGGGGAGTAAGATGAGTCTGTAACCAGCTCAGCCCGAGCAGGGCCGGAGGAGAGGCCGGGGGAGAGGCTGGAGGAGTGGGGAGAGGGAGCGGCACAGCTGGTCACGGAGGGCTTCCTGACAGAGGGGCCTTTGCTCCGGACCCTGAAGACTGGCTGATGTGCCCAGCAGGGGGGGGACGTCACTGCAGAGGGGGTTGAGAACCCAGGGGATGATCAGGAAGACGGGACGCTCACAGGAGGGCGGAGGTAAACGAGGGTGTGCAGGGATTGGAGTGTGATTGAGGGGAGCA